TGTTTTCGAAAATTCTCCTTGAAATACGGTGGCCTAACTTGTGTGAAAATTCGGCCACAACTCCAATTTTTTTGCACAAGAATAATACCGTAAAACCTGTATTGGAAGGGCCGGCCCTTCTATTACAGGGACCCTTCAATCAGAGGACGTATTTTTCCGGTCACTTTTCCAATCTTTTTCATAGAAAAATTAAGTGAATTCTTGTTCGAAATTCTTAAAAGTTCTTAAAGTTACCACCAAGGCTGTGCAAAAATCCGCCGCGGCCAAGGCCGTGGGCATTTTGCCGTGGACCAATCTGGCCGTTTTTTTTGAAAATAAGCTCAGCTACCCAGGTACTACTAGGGCCGATAGGCAGCTGTACCCTATCTATCTCAGAAGTATCCTTTTTTGAAGTGCTGCGGCCGTTCTGGCACAGCCTTGGTTACCACCTATAATATAAAATATTATGCTGTTTCAGATTTTTTAGAATTTTTGCACTTCACTCATTTTTGCATTGAACGTTCATAATCCTTATAAGCTGATAGAAATTTCTTAGATTTAGCTTCTCAAATTAATTTTTTAAAAAACTTACTCTCCATTATTACTGTTTCCCTGTCCTCTTCCAATACCCCACCATCCTTTTCCTCTTCCACCACCACTACTCTGAGAACTGGTTACCAGAGCACTCTTTGATTTTGCCAACGAATTACAGAAATCCGAATTACATGAACAACTAGAGGATACTGTAGACGTAGAGGTTGACGCAGAACAAGTGACATTGGCAGTGGTGGATAGGGTTGAGGAGCAACCGGCTGACCAACTGTTGTCTGTGTTCAGTTCTGGAAATTAATACGTTGGATGGCCGTCGAATCATGTTCAAATAACCGATTGCTGAGTAAAGAAATTTTTTCTACTTAACTGTTTTGAAAAACAGAAATAATCGATGTTAAATTTCAACCGAAAAATAAGACATTTGAAGCAGAATAAACTACTGAAGTTTTGAAATATTCACCTAATTCGAAGAAATAAAGTTAAGATCGTTATCAAAAAAGCTATATGGTGCAAACTTTGAAACAGAGGTGAAACAGGAGATTTAATGTTTTTTTTTGTTGGAAAAACTTCCTCTTTAAAGATGGGGAGACATGAAAAAATGTTCTTGAAATTCCGATTAAATATGCCCCTCGAGGAGTTGAACTGGTGGGGGCAAGGATTGAGGGTGCGGCGCCGCTATCGACTGACTATGAGCCACGCGGGCAGAGAAAGCGGCCGCCCGATTGCACTTATAAACACAGGTGATTCGCGAACAATCCGTTACGGACGCTCCACGTTCGCGCGCGGTTGAAATAGGAACCGCATACGGACCGTACGCGAACCGTTTTTAGTAAATAGCAGTACATTATTCGGATTGATCCGTATCCTGTCCGTTCGCGAGCTCCGTATCCGATCCGATTGCGAATCATG